CTTCTCACTGCAAAAGCGGAGTCTGCCTCCCCAAACGGGAATGCAACCATGAATGGCAGTGCTTAACCAAAGAAACGCCCAAAACTGTTTTCCGACATGAAAAGTCAATCATCTGCCATGCTAGCTGACACAGCCCCACATGAGGTACCTGTGTACTTGAGTCCCCCTTGTCTTACAGAGGATACTGATCCTTTGGTCTATTGGAGAGAAAACCAAAGCCATTTTCCTGCCCTAGCTCAACTTGCATGTAAATGTCTTGCCATACCATCTTCCTTTGCACCTGTTGAGAGAATCTTTAGTGTTGCAGGAAAGATATTCAGACCAGGGGTGCGTTTCCCAAAGCCAACTATGGTCGCAAGTTCCGTCGTTACCAATAGAGTTCAATGGAAATTGCGATCATAGTTGGATAACGATGCTTTCGGGAAACGCACTCCAGAACGGTGCAGACTCAATGATATTATGACATTTGAGGAGCTATTGAGAATTAGATGCAACAGTGTTGCTCAGTGGGTTTTGCATTGGAATAAATGATAACTGCATTTACAACGACTTTGTGTTATTTGATTTCTTTGAAATGAAAATAACATTGGAACAAAACTAATTAAACAACAATGAGAGGGTAATTAATTTTATCAGTGTTGCTCATTTAAACAGTGTTGCTCAGTGGGTTTTGCATTGGAATAAATGATAACTGCATTTACAACGACTTTGTGTTATTTGATTTCTTTGAAATGAAAATAACATTGGAACAAAACTAATTAAACAACAATGAGAGGGTAATTAATTTTATCATTATCTATATTTTAGAACAAAGTGTATGCAGGGTTGAGGAGAGACTAGTTACGTGAATATCAGAAATTATGTTATTAAATTACTAAATTAATGTAATTGTATTAAGTTGTATTACTGAGGTAAAATGTGTAATTAACTACCAATCAAATTAAAAGGAAATTGCTTTGCATTTATAAAGTAATACAAATAAAGTAACCCAAACCACATTTATAATGGGTAACTTATAACAGTAAGCAATAACATTTCCAAAGTAACCTTCCTAACACTGAATGTATGTGAGATTCAACGCATTCTTCTGTTGTGTGACTGTGTGGAATTTCTTTGAATTACCATGAAATTAATTCCACTTCCTGTCATTCAAATTCAACTTCCTGTGGGGCGGAGTCAATTCAATTCATATTCCAATTCATGAATTGAATGGAGGCCAATTCTGAAATTCAGAACTTAGCACAAGCCCGCTACAAACAACAAAGCTCACAACATTGCAGTGAACACATTCATACACTGAAAAGTCAATAAAGTCAGCATTTCAACAACTGCACAAGAGGAGGCCAGGTAAAAGAAAGTAAATGCTGTTAAATACCTGACCCAACCAGGCTTGCCTCTGAGGGGGCACAACCAAGAGGAAGGACATTTCAACCAGCTTCTTCTCTTCACGACAGAGAGTGATGATCTTCATGACAGCCAATGGCCTTCGCAAGCGTTTCCAGAAAGGAAACACTGTCCTTGGACTGCTGTTGGCACAGGACATCATGATAAGTGTCAAGTCCCACTCTGGTTCAACTTCCAAAGGACACAAGGACAACTCAAATTTCCAACTCAAATCACTTTTCTTTTTCTTTTGGCTTTGTCAGTTGATTGTTCTGTTCAGCAAATTAGGTATTAAACCTTTAAAGACAGAGAACAAATGTTACCATTTTATTAAAAAATTGTAATTAAACATTTTTGATTTTGATGAAAAAGATGATTTCATGAATCTTCCAAACTTGTTTGTAAAGTTAACATTTTACCATTTTACCATTTTTAACTTTGTACAGCCCTTTTGTATCTTATACTGTTAATTTTTTCGGTACCACTTTATATTAAGTGGCCCTAATACCTGTGAACTTACATGGTTACTAGATATCTACTTAGTATGTAACTACAGTGTAAATACACATTGGTACATAGTATTTACAACTGTAATATTTGTGTAACTACACATGTGTAACAACCCACGGAAAGGTACGTGTAAGTACAAATGTGTAACAGGACATTGGTAACAACACTTTTTCTACTACAGTAAGTACACATGTGTAACAGGCATTATGTTACTACATTTTGTAACAACAATATGTATTCACACAAGTTGTTCCACTTCCACACGCAGTCTTCCATACTGTAGTTACCAGTTAAGAACACACTGAACCCATGATGATTCCTATGTGTATACCATGTATTTACTAGATGACCGGCAGGACTTATGTTGAATTACATGTAGCTAAAGGTTTCCCTTGTGGTACCAGTGTTCTTACATGGTAACTCCTCAGGAACTCTGCACTTGATACAATGTGTTAAACTGTCATAACTTAGATGTATTATGCAAAACCCAAACCTCTGTGCAACTGTACTAACAGTGTACTTGCATGGTAACTCCTCAGGAACTGTCCACTTAATATAAAGTGTAAAACGGTCATAACTTACTGTGTATTATGCAAAACCCAACCCTGTGCAACTGTATTAACAGTGTGCTAACATGGTAACTCCTCAGGAACTGTCCACTTAATATAAAGTGTAAAATGGTCATAACTTACTGTGTATTATGCAAAACCCAACCCTGTGCAACTGTATTAACAGTGTACTAACATGGTAACTCCTCAGGAACTGTCCACTTAATATAAAAGTGTAAAACGGTCATAACTTACTGTGTATTATGCAAAACCCAAACCTGTGCAACTGTATTAACAGTGTACTAACATGGTAACTCCTCAGGAACTGTCCACTTAATATAAAAGTGTAAAACGGTCATAACTTACATGTATTATGCAAAACCCAAACCTCTGTGCAACACTGTATTAACAGTGTACTTACATGGTAACTCCTCAGGAACTGTCCACTTAATATAAAGTGTAATTGTTAGGGTCATTGTTGTGTACCACAGTAAATGCAAACACAATGTTACGTAGTGGATAGTAAACTCTGAAATATAAATGTGATAGTTATGCTTTGATAGATTCTGGGATATTATGGCATAGCACTTTTAAAGATTTACTCTTTATTTTAGATTTTTTGATTTGACATTGTGGTGACCTATTTGCCTTTACAGTAAATTACAGTGTTCTGTAAACAATAAACAAGAATAGCCTACACTTTAAAACCTTAAAAATACCTTGTTTAATCGTTTAACCATTTTGTAGTATTTAGTTTATTTACCGTGAGACACAAAAAGCGTTTTCTCCAATAAAACACAACATAAATTCACAAAAAAAACCATCAATTGTATTAGCCTGATGTAATCCAAATCTTTAGAATCCATACGTTGTTTGCAAGAAACCGATCCAAATTCAGCCCTTTATCCCTTTGACGCATACGATCACACCGGTGTGATCAGTCTTGGCTGGTCCCTGGAGCGTACGATCACACCGGTGTGATTAGAACGGTCAGTGCGTCACGTGATCAACTGCTAAATTCAAACGTGCTTTCGCACGGACGCACTCAGTGCTGTCATATATCACAACTATTGAGTATTTTAAACCACATAATGTTTATTTTAGGTTTCAGACATTTAAATACACATAAGTACTAGCAAAACAGTGATTTTGAATTAGTAAAATAGACACTGATGTCTATGGAAACGGCAACAATAATAATTTCCATTATAATAAGACGAAACGTTTTATTCATATCAAATACACATTGTGTAAGTAGCTTTACATTTTACCCTATTCTTCTCCTAGTTCACCGGCCACTTACTTTCATGTATTTCGTGAGAAACAACAGATCCGATTCCAGTGGCGGCTGGTGATAATTATTTTTGGGGGGGGCGCATTTTTTATTTTAGAGGGGGAGGGGGGGGTGTTATAAAACTAATTTTATAAAAAAAAACGGCTCATTGCTTGCAAAGTGAGATATTTTAAGCCTTGATTTGTTATAATTTTGATGATTATGGCTTACATAATGGCTTACAGCTTATGGAACTCACGAAATCAATTTTTGAAAATTAGAATATTACATGAAATCACACTGTAGTAGTTACACAGTAATCCCATGGTCATTGAACCAGGTTTTGGTTATTTTGGCAGTGTGGGCAGGTGAAAATCCTGCTGAAAATCATCTTCATCTTCATAACGCATCTTCATAAAGCTTTTCTGCTGAAGGAAGCATGAAGTGCTCCAAATGTCCTGGTAGACGGCTGCATTGACTCTGGACTTCCAGGACATTAGAGCACTTCATGCTTCCTTCAGCAGAAAAGCTTTATGACATTTAGATTTTGTGGGTTTCATAAGCTGTAAGCCATAATCATCAAAATTATAACAAATAAAGGCTTGAAATCTCTCACTTTGCAAGCAATGAGCCTATATAATATATTAGTTTCACATTTGAAGTTGAATTCCTGAAACAGTTAACTTTTCCATGATTTTCTATTTTTTTTGGAAAAGGGTCTGTAGGTCTCTTAAGTGAATTCTCGTTATCTCTGACGAAAGGGTCTGTACATTTCAGACCAACAAAGCAGCAACAAAAAGCATGTTTCCTACTTGAACATAAAACAGTGCTCTTCTTTATATACATTTCAGATCAACAAATCAGGACCAAAAAGCATCTTTCCTACTTGAACATAAATTTAGCTCTTCTCTCTTTCTGGCCAGCAAATTTCTCAATTACTCTCTGATTAAAGTCAGTCATCGCTGTGACAAGTCTCTTTTCCATGGACAGCAATGCCAGTGCATTCAGCCTCTCCTGGGTCATGGTGTTTCTGAGAAAGGTTTTAATTCTTTTCAAGGTTGAAAAGCACCTCTCAGCTTCAGCCGTGGTCATGGGTGTGGTTATGATAACTTTTAGGAGAGTCACGGTTTCGGAAAAGACTTCTTCGAGATTATTCTCCATAAACAGCTGGAATAGGTCCACAGCACCACGGCAGGCACAGAACTCTTGCTTGCTGTAGATAAGACTGAGCTCTGTCTTGAGCTTGCTTCCATTGAGCATCGGCAGGAAAGGTATCCTTGTACTCGTCAAACCTGTCCCCCTGCAACAAGGTGGCACAGACAAGGTGGTCTGTCTGTGAAGGAGAAACGCTCCCTAGTGTGTCCCAGGATTGTGTCACAGACCTATAGAGATAATTAAACAATATATAAATGTAAGGTAGTAGCCAGTCATCATATACTCACCCTCATGTTTTTTTCAAACCTGTATGAATTAATTTCTTCTGCTAAACAGAAAGGAAGATATTTAGAAGATTGATACCGTGAGAAATTTACATTCTCAGGAAAACAGCCACTTATCAGTTAATCGTTAATCGATCGATAAGGTCAATCAACTAAAGATTAATGAATTAATCGATAACTTGCATCCCTAATTTGATCATTTATATTTATGTTGCCAATTTATAATTTTTGGGATGCTGTTGTATAATATTAAAATGATGATTTTTGTAAGGATTTATACCAAACTAAAATAGTTTTCTTGAGTCTGTAGAATATGATATGCAGGCAGGACATTTCTGCAGCACAACAATATCGTAAAATAGTATTTTGACTGATTTCTATAACAAACTCACCTCTGCTGCAATCCTTTCACGTTCTTCCGGACTGAGCACCCGGCGTCTCTTTGTTGGCTGAGAACCACTGTTATGTTCACCAATGGAGTGGAGAGAGTTTCTGCAAAGGACAAAGCTAATTTATTATAATATTGGCAAAAGAGAGAGAGTTAATAATGAAAGAGAAACCAAATAATGATCATATAACAGGAATACAGTTACCTGATCTTTTGTATTTCCTGTTGGAACTGTTGGATGCTCACTTTGATATGGACCGAATCAATGTTCTTCTTCTGGAGCTTGGCATAGAGGAAGTCTACATGTGGCATGATGTGCTGATAAAGTTCCAGAAAGAACTTAAAATCCTCATTCTCCAGTAGCATGGCCAGGGCACCTGCTTCTCTGACAGTATTGGGGTCAAAGTCACCGGAGTCTTGTATGCTCTCAAAACAGTGAATGAGATCCTCTCTGTGCTCAAAAACTGTATTAATGGCACGGCTATGAAAGTTCCATCTGACATTGCTGGATCTCGGCAGTCTATGGGCAACCACTTTATCCAGAAAACATGTCCGCTTGGGTGACTTAGAAAAAAAGCTGGCAAATCCACCAATGTTAGAAAAAAAAATTCTCGTCTTGGATATGTGAGACGTGGCCTGCTGCATAATCAGGTTGAGCTGATGAGCGTAGCAGTGGATATAGTGGGCATTTGGATACACATCTTGTACTTTTCTCTGTACACCTGCAGTGGCACCCCTCATCACGCTGGCTCCATCATATGCCTGGCAGATGAGCTTACTTTTCTGATCCTCGGGGAGGATAGAAGCAAGACGCTCTTTTAGTGCAGTTGCAATGGACTCAGCTGTAGCTGACTGCAGAGGGATGAACTCAAAAAATCTTTCCTGCACGTTATTTTTGTCGTCGATGTAGCGCAAAACAAGCACAAGCTGGGCCAGTGTGGCAATATCTGTGGTTTCATCTGCCTGGATTGATAAAAACTACTTGTCTGGACTTCTTTGATTATTTCTTCTCTTGTAACAGATAACATACAGTCCAGAAGCTCGTTCTGTTTTAGATGTTCCCTTAAATACAGTAGCACTGTCAAGATGCTCTTTCAATGCTCCATCAAGAGAGGCCACAAAATCCACCAATCCGCGAAATATACCAGGGTTATCTGAGCTCTCACTCTCATCATGACCACGTAAAGCCAACTCAAATGCTCCACAAAACTTTACACAGTCTATTATCCTGGACAGTATGTGTCGATTTTTTGTCACCTCTTCGTTGTGCCTCCTAATACCAATCCTGTAGCCTTCGTCTAGTTGTTCCGCAATGCTTACTTTGCCCAAAAACTTTAATTTCACGCTATTCTCAAGATGGCTGCGGCTACTTTCATGACGTTTGCATTTGTCAGATAGATGTTTGAGGTCGCTTACCCCCGTAGTGGTCAGGGTACATTCTGGCAAACCGTTTGCCAATCACGTCTAGCAATCGGCAAAGCAAGCTGTGCTACACGCCATTTACCAACAAGCGATGGGTAATTCGCAAAGCACAATGTTATTTTCTGTTTTCCCAGCACGATACTATAGAACGGCATAAAGTAATCGGTTTGAGAAGTAAGAGGCGGGGCACCAGTTAAAACATTTCAAAGTTAAAGTTCAGGCAAACAGGTATTTATATTCAAGTTTTAGTCAAATATTGATTATTTATAGCTGAATTAAGTAGAACACAATTATATTTGGAACAATATAGCATATGAATCCAATAAAGAATCCAACAGTAGGCCTAAGATATTGGCATGAGCATGACAACCCCATTCTTATGTAATATCTTAATAAAATATAGAATTTCTAATATCTTTAAGTTCACACCTCCATTGTGTAATATAATTGTAAAGTCCATTAACATAGATTTTAGCAGTGGTTCTCAAACTGGTGGCCATGCCCCCTGTAAGGCTGCCATATGGTACAGGGTGAGCCACACCAAGACATTTTATTAACTATAGAATTTTTCATAAATTCAGTGTAGCCTAATCATCAGAGAAATAAGACTTCCAACCAACATAATTTATTGAATCATTGCATAACGCATTCTATTGTAGGCTATGATTTCATATGTATGTTTTTTTAAGTTTCAAATTGTTTTGTGTTATTAATTTTCTGTGGGAAAAATCATCTACAGCTTGATCGTTTAATACGAGGCTATATATGCACGGATCATCTTAAACGTCACCCGAATCGCCTGCTTCTAATTAATAATGCACCGCCAACCACCCGCAACATAATTGTCTCTGATTTATAGATATCCGCACCCGAGCGCTACATTACATTTATTCTAAGGCCGGTTTCATACCGCACGCCTGAGTGGTGCGTCGGAAGAGCGTTTGCTGCGCTGTGAAACACCGGCTGTACCGCGCACAGTAGCCTACAACAGTCGCATTAGCAAGTTATTTATTACTTTATTTTACATACATTTATAAACAACTTTTTGACTGTCAATATAGTTTTAATAACTGTGATTTGTTTAATCCACATTGTGTTCGTGCTTTTCTGGTCCATGTAGCCTACCACAAAAATCACATTTTTTATAATTTTTTTGTCTTTTCCTCACTCAGAGTTGCTCTCAGATCCGTAGAAGCTTCCTACGTAGAAGTTTTAAGATAAATTAGGAGCTTTATGAGAGTATATTCTGCTTTGAGAATACGATATATATATTTTTTTGCAGTCTATCATTATAAACCAATAAAATCGGTTGTGTATAATTGCATTCTACTAATTCTATGGGGTGCCGTTTGTAAAGTGGCTCACGCTGAAAATAACAGCAACATTTTGTCACATTTAGCTTCAAACTATGTTTAAAAAACTGGTATTCATTTTTGACGGTCACTTTTTAGCACATTTACAACAATATTTGTCAACTTAGAGATATTTTAAATAGTTAAATCTAAATATTAAATGTTACACCTAAATGTTAAATCTAAATGTTAAATCTAAATGTGAAATCTAAATATTAAATCTAAATGTGAAATCTAATAATGTAAATGTTAAATCTAATGTAAATGTTAAATCTAATGTAAATGTTAAATCTAAATCTAAATGTTAAATCTAAATATTAAATCTAAATGTTAAATCTAAATGTTTCGGGTGAAACTAAATATTTAACTAATATGCAAATTCAAAATGCCGGTAACAGGAAGTGCCAAAATAAAAGCTCGACGAGGTCAGTGCGTGTTGTTTATAGTGTCAAATAACGAATAAAAACCATCTCATCCGGGAAAATGGACTCTTGGACATGGATTGTCGTGATAATAACTAGCCTACCTAAAATAACAAACACGTTTGTTATTATTATACACGTTTTATTAGCGAACATGACGGATCAGTCAAAGTGAGCCCCCTCGTGGCTGGCGATTATGGCTACAGGTCATAAGTCCCGCACCTTTCATAAAAGTGACACTAAAAGTTCAAAGTAGCCTACTCTTTAAATACAGTTTCTCCAAACGTGTTTATTATTTTAGGTAGTTATCACGATAATCCATGTCCAAGAGTCCATTTACCCGGATGAGATGTTCTTTATTCGTTATTTGACACTATAAACACACACTGACCTCCTCGAGCTTTTATTTTGGCACTTCCCTGTTACCGGCATTTTGAATTTGCATATTAGTTAAATATTTAGTTTCACCCAAAACATTTAGATTTAGATTTAACATTTAGATTTAGATTTAATAATTAGATTTAGATTTAACATTAAGATTTAACATTTAGATTTACATTTAACATTAAGAGTTAACATTTAGAATTAGATTTAACATTTCGATTTAGATTTAATATTTAGATTTAACATTTAGATTTAGCATTTGGATTTAACATTTAGGTGTAACATTTAATATTTAGATTTAAAATTTATTTAAAATATCTCTAAGTTGACAAATATTGTTATAAATGTGCTAAAAAGTGACCGTCAAAAATTCATACCAGTTTTTTAAACATTGTTTGAAGCTAAATGTGACAAAATGTTGCTGTTATTTTCAGCGTGAGCCACTTTACAAATGGCGCCCCATATAATTCAGCTATAAACAATCAATATGACTAAAACTTGAATATTAATAGCCTACCTGTTTGCCTGAACTTTAACTTTGAAATGTTTTAACTGGTGCCCCGCCTCTTACTTCTCAAACCTCTTACTTTATGCCGTTCTATAGTATCGTGCTGGGAAAATAGAAAATAACATTGTGCTTTGCGAAATACCCATCGCTTGTTGGTAAATGGCGTGTAGCACAGCTTGCTTTGCCGATTGCTAGAAGTGATTGGCAAACGGTTTGCCAGAATATACCCTGACCCGTAGTTGTCCACAAAACTTCAGTGCCGACACTTTGAAAAAGAAGACAGGGAAAACAAAACATGGTATTGCTAACATCACGTCCAGTCAGCCAGCTCCGTTTCTCGTAACAAGCGCGGGTAAAGCTCCGTTTGTAGCTTCGTCCTCTGTCACTTGCCTGCTGCTGGATGTGTAAATCTGGTTGTTCCGGTCCGAGATCCTTAATCTTTTTTTTTTTCTTCAAGCGAAAGTCTTGAGAAAGGGTTTTTTTTGTAAATAAATAACAGAATTTGGATTAACTGCTGCCATTGCGTAATAAAAAGTGATCAGCCTAGTAGCAAGCAAGGTTATTTCCCGCCGCGTACAGTTGAATGACAGGTGACGAGAACCAATCAGATTGGATAAAATAACATGTATCCAATTATGATTGGCCAGGGACGCAACGACTTGCGCCCCGAGGAGGATCTTTAAGAAACCAATCAGAGACCAGCTTCAGGTCACATGCTGCCCGAGAATTTGTGTACTCACATAGACACCCATGTGTCCGGCGTCCCTCGCCCATGAAACGTATTGAAAAACATAGTAAATATTTAATCAATTAAACACAGTTTTTATTAAATTCTGAGGCTCTTACTACGAGCCGACACATGAGTAAACTATTTTTATTTGATTATTATTTCATTTTAATATAATGTTTTTACACATGTTAATTTCTGAAATGTTGATGGGGGCGGCGCCCCAGCGCCCCCTATGGACAAGCCGCCACTGTCCGATTCTCTGAACTGTGAAACAAACTAACATGGCGCCGCCCATCGCGCATACAGCTCAACTAAAGCGATCATTATAAAGATGTTTAAACAACAAAACACAACCACTTGCACATATTTGACAATCGGAATATCAGTGTTTCATGGTATAGCTAATACATTTGTGAATATTTTGAATAGAAAAGGAAAAAAGACATAAAAGCAGATCATCACTCATTCAGCTCTGTGTTGTGATTGCGCTGTGTCACGTGACAAGAAATGACGCGTCACCATGGAAACATTAAAGTGACAGGTTCTAAATAACGGTCGCCTTGAAAAACTCACGCTGGGGGGTCAGTTAGAATATTTTAAACTTACGTGTGAAAGGGTTATGATCTTCATCTCCATTTCTCAGCAGCGACCGCAAACGTCAAATCCCGCGCTCAGGCGCGCGGCTGGTGATGAATTCAAATTAAAAAAATGCGCCTTCAAGAAGCGTTACGACATGTTTTACGGACGTGATATCAAACGCTCATTGGCTCTCGCCTGCTTCGTCACAGATTTCGACATGCCGTGTTTCAGTCGGTGTAGTACATTTGAAATGGATAAGCACGCGCGCCTTCACAGAGCGAACTGAAACCGGATTAACATTTTCATGGATTAATAATTTATATTCTGATCTGTACCTCATACACAACTATTATAATACTGCCAGAGAGGACTGCGGCTGCAACGCATCGACATGTGAACGGCTTTTGGTACCGGTTTTGACATTTTCGCAATAAACAAATTATTGTGACATTTATAACGTTAACGTTACTTGTCTGTCTGTTATGTTTTTATTTTCTTCATAAGTGTAGCCTACATAATTTTAAGGAATGGTTATGGGTAGGTTTAGGGGTATGTGTAGGATTAGTGGCTCAAAATATATTTTAAAGGCACACTGTGGAACTTTTCAACCTTTATAATATATTACCAAAACCCATTGAGATGGTACATCGACTTACAATAGGTTGAATGACACGTCTGCCGTAGCCTGAAGGTGTCTGTATCGCTTTTCCTAGCACTATGTAACTTCGGGTTTCGGGTAGGAACCCGAGCACAAAAAGAACTACAAAATTCAACCGCTTTACGGCATACGTCACTTCCCCCACCACCCACAACTTCCTCAGATTCTAACGTGAGTGCTCAACTCGCGTTTGATTGCCGTCTGTATGTTTTCGTCATGGCCGAACCAACAGCTACAAGGAAGAAGGCAAAGGTTTTGTCAGAGGACACTAAAAAAAAAGAAAAAGGCATAGTGACAAATGAAAAGCCAGGACGAGGATCACGATTGGTCCAGCGTTCGCTCGCTGGCGTGAGCTACAGGAGGAGGATGGGTCCCCGACCGATGCTGACGCTTGCCTGCACACAAATGCCGTTTCCAAGGTGAACCAGATAAATCATATAAGTACTGTAGTATTTTCTGGTATTCCGGCCACAGCCGATGGTGTTATGAGTGTAATAAAATGCCCACAGCCCATTGTTCATTTCTACACACAAACACAGCCCGCCACAGTGCAGGGCTCGCACAAATAAAGTCGACTCATGTCAAATGTACATTAAATGTAGTGAACGTGCCCACGACTCAGTGCCCACAAACACTACACACAACATGTCCCACGGTTTCTGTAAACAGGGTATCCGCGGGTCCTTAAAAAGTCTTAAAAAGTCTTAAATTAGATTTTAAAAATTTATGGCCTTAAAAAGTCTTAAAAAGTCTTATTTTGACTTATGAAAGGTCTTAAATTTTTAATGGCAATTTGAGTTAG